GGGGTATACCGACATGGTCTAAGCAATAGCTACGTAAGTGCGACATATTTGTGGGTACCGGTAGCCTTTGAGTTAATCAAAGAGAATACGGGGCCGCTGAGTGATGTCATAAAACACTAATGAACTTTTAGAACCTTTACTTGACCAACTTGGCCTTTATGATGTAGTGAGATGACCGGCTTTGGTGCAGTCCGAAGTTGGTAGATACTCGATACTACACTCATTGAGGTTTGGCTTCTTGGGATATTTCGGTCGCCATTAAAGAGGCTTGTGCTGAAACAATAACCAAGGAAACAAATCAGTGATATTGAGCTCCTTAGAACCCGGTTACTATTACTAGGACAGGTTTGAGCCAACTAAACTTCAAGAGGGTACTTACCTATTAAACTTTGTGCAAGCCTAAAACTAAGGATTTGTTTGCTTTGTTTGTATATGCATATTTGTACATAACATCATGAACATCATATACATCCACTAACCATTTCAAGGATTTTGGGATTCATCTTTTTTCTTATTTTGTAGGATATGGATTCACTTCGCAGGAAAACTATTCAAGTCAACCTTGTAAGGATCCCCCCACAACTTAAGGAGCTAGCTTCAAGGATTCTTGAAAACTCTCCATTCACCGAGAGACATGGTCTCCTACTCAACTTGGTCACCTCCAACACAGATGAGGACATGATGAAGGTGCTTTTTCAGTTCTTTGATCCTTTACACCATTACTTCACATTTCCCGACTATCAACTTGTGCCTACATTGGAAGAATTCTCCCAAATATTGAGGATTCCCATTCTCAATCAACTACCTTTCAACGGTACAGAAAGATACTCAAATCCATAAGAGATTGCTCAAGCTCTACACTTGCACTCATCTGATATCACAACTCATTGGGAAACAAGGAGTGGTGTCAAAGGTTTCTTAGCAAAGTTCTTGTTTGAGAAAGCCCAAAGTTGTTGGAATTCCTTGGACTTGCAAGCCTTTGAGAAAATTGTGGCTCTCCTCATCTATGGGATGGTCTTGTTTCCAAATCCTGACCAACTCATAGATATCAACACCGTCAAAATCTTCATATCCCGCAACCCGGTGCCTACATTTTTGGGAGATATCCTACACTCTTTTCACACCCGCACAATGAGGAAAGGAGGTGTCCTTATGTGTTGCACTCCTCTCTTGGAAATATGGTTTATTTCGCATCTTCCCCGATCTGTATTAAAGAATGAGCAAGGTTCAAGGTGGTCACAAAGGTTGATGATGCTCAAACATTCAGACATTCATTGGGGCTCCCGATTCAAAGAGAATGTTATCATTGTCGACCGTTGTGGATAATTCCCTAATGTCCCCTTACTTGTCATTATGGGAGGTATCACCTACAACCCATGTTTAGCCTTAAGGCAGTTTGGTTATGCCTGAAGGGGCGGTCCGCACGAGATGCTGATTCAAGGTTTGGTATTTGACTACAACAATGACGATCAAGGTATTCTCTAGAAATTTATCTGAGCTTGGAGGATGTTGAACAAGGTGGATAGCAAGACTTTGGGGCACAAGAATTCCATCCCTCTTGAGCCTTACCTCAAATGGGTACGAACTCGCGCTCAGAGTCTTATGATTCCTTACCCCTTCATTCTCCCGGTAATTATTGAGCCTGTCATGGAGGGAGATGTTCCATACACTATCCTATATTCTGACATGCCCACATCTCTTGAAGGCTTACAAAGGGATTGGATACAACTCAAAGGAGAGCGGGATACTTTCGAAGCCCAATTCTACGCAAGCGAGAAGAAGGTTTTGGAACTCACTAGGCCACTTCATGAGGAGCAGACTCTGAATGCCTACATTGCACCAAAGAGGATGCGTACTACCTTTCTATCTTAGAGTTTTTGTATTATTTTGCCCAAGGGGCATTGATGTACTCAAGCTTTATCTTCTTAATATAACGTGTGTTTCTTTTTTGTCTAAAACAAATTTGAATCTTTGAAATCCTTGAAAACATTGCATATGCATATACCATTCATCATAACATAAGTAGGTTTTTTGCAACAAGTCTCCTCATCTCTCTACTGTTTATTTCAGTAAGATGGATCTCGAGCAAACAGTGAAAGACCTCCAAGCTCAGAATACACAGTTTCAGCAGTTGCTCTTGACCCTAGCCAAGGGACAAGAAGAATTGAAGACTTTGCTGGCTGAAGAGAGGAAAAAGAAAACAAAGAAGGTAACCGGAGTCCTAAACATGGGAAGAAGATTTCATGGGCAGATAAGAAGGACCTTAGACTTTGCAACAACACCCGGTGAAAAAGACAATCAGGAGGGGAAAGGAAAGGAAACAATTGTCCCATCAGAACTGGAGGAGGAAGAGGAAGAAGATAACTACTCTGAAGAACAATACCCTCCAGCTGATGACAAGTATAAACATCTCGAGGAGCGGCTGAGTGCGATGGAAATCCAAAAGGTGCCTGGCTTGGACTTTGAGGAATTGGGTTTAGTATCGTGGATTGTGATTCCTCCAAAATTCAAAGCACCTGTGTTCGCCAAATATGATGGAGTTTCATGCCCTAAAATGCATCTCTGGTCATATGTGAGGAAAATCCAACCCCATACCGCTGATAAAGACTTATGGGTGCACTTCTTCCAAGACAGTCTGTCTGGAACTCAACTTGACTGGTTTTACCAACTAGAAAGAGCCAACGTTCACAATTGGGAAGATCTTGCTGCAGCCTTCCACAAACAATACCAATACAATGCTGATCTTGCGCCTACCCGCACTCAACTCCAGAGTATGGCCATGGTTTCTGTAGCGATAAAAAATGTAGCGGGGTAAATCGGAGATCGAATTATTGATTAATTCGTCTCACAAAAGCAAGAGTCGCCACCGCGCTTTATTGTTTCCAAAGGAAAAGGGAAAAGAGCGAAATAAAACCCTAAATATGCAATGTAAATAAAATACAAATACAAAGCGTTTTTGAAAAGAGATCTTATGGTTCGGGGGTTGGTTATACAGTGGGAAGGTACTAGCACCCAATGTATCTATAGTACTCTATAGGAACCTTTTGAAATATCTGTTTTTATTTAAAATCGATTGCTTGATGGAAAATAAATCGTTTTGGCCGAAAAAGGGATACGGACGGGTTTTTGAAGATACGACAACTTAACGTTGAAGTTTTGACTTAAAAGGTGTGAGTTTTGGAGAAATCGGATATTTGGAAAAATTATCCTAAGTTTCAATGAAATGAGAGTACTCGCTCGATCGTTTTTTGAGGACATGAAGTCAACAAAAATTAGACAATTCCCTTTGGATTGACGCAAACAGAATAAACAAGTACAATGAAATAATTGACAGAAAATGACACACAACAATTAAATGTGAACATGCATTTTATATGATTTTTTGTTTAATAGACGAAAAGAAAAAGTTTAATTGATTTTGCATTTTTGATGATAAAAGGTAATGAGAATTAATTAAGGAAAATAGAAATGTTTTTTTTAAGCTTTTTAAGTTTCTATTTTTTATGTTTTTATTAGTATTAAATCAAAACGAGGGGAATAAATTAAAGGAAAAATAGCAAGTCTTTATGTTTTCTCATTTTTTTTGCCTTTTTTAGAGATATTAAGTATTTATCAAATTAAATAAAACTTATAAATCAAATATCTATTAAAATAAGGATGACTAAAGTTATTAAAATAACCTAAACTTAGATTAAAAGAGATTTGGATAAAATATTAAAATTATCTATTTAAAATTACATGTTTAGTTCTAGGAAAATTAATTAATCCAAATTAGTTAAGTTAAGAAAAAGAATAAAATTAAACTAAGAATAAATAAGGATGGGGTATGAATTAGTAAATAGAAATGGACTTAAGTGTAAAAAGAAAATGGGCTTAGGCTGAAAAAGAAATGAACTGGGTTGAGGAGAGTGGAGCGGGTCGGGTCGTGGGAGGACCAGGAAGAGAAACACAAAGCTTGTAACAAGAAAACCTAGGAACTGAAGGCACCAAGGCCGCCGCCGCTGGATCCCTCTTCTTCCTCCTTGTTCCGATCCACTTCGTTTCTCGGTATCTTCCCGAAAATTCCATTGAAATTGTTGTTGTTGTAGGGTTTTGTGTCAGACGACACGAGCCTCAAGGATTTGCATTGGATCCATGACTCTATTTGAAGCTGAGACATATTCAGAGTTCTTCTTGAAAAAAACCCAGTGACTGAATCTGAATTGGTGAACAACTCACCTCCCGTGTTGACCTTGTGTTGCAAATTCACTGTGTTCTTCCCATTATGAGTCGATTTCGAGAGTGATGTAGAATAGGTATGGTGGTAATTTTTGTTTCTTTTCTTTATATTACTGCTTCTTTGGTGGTTGAAGTTGACCTCCTGTGAGTTTTTACGAGTTCTGCATTGAAGGAGGATGCCAATCCCTTCATTTCTCAAATTGAATTGAGGCCGTTACCGGAAGAATACCTACATGATTTCTGTGCCAGTGTTTTAAAAGTGATTAGCAGAAATAATCTTTGGCATAGAAGCTGACATCAGGTATGTCAATCCCCCTCCGTTTTCTCAATGGATTATATTCGTATCTAATAAGAATCACGATTTCCGCTTCGGATTAGATACCTTAAGCGGTTAACTGTAAACTGCAAACAGGGGGATCTCAACCTAGTGTAGCCTTAGTTTTCTATTGAATTGATTTGTGCTTAGCGATTGGTACATGGCTCGGGGACGGTGGAGATAAAGAAGGGAAGCGATGTTGGAGATTGAAGAGGTGTGGCTCGGTTACAGATGGTGTTGTGGCGAAGATGAAGGTTTTTCGGCGAGGAAGGATTCTCCGGTCAGGTGAGTTATTCTAACCTTTTCTGTTTATAGCTTTTTTTTTCGATATAAAATATTTTCAATAAACTTCATAATGGTTATGTTATGATTACTAACAGTTACTAGTTGCAGCAAAATAAACTAGTGAAGCTGACTATGGCCCTTAAAAAGACTCTCTAAATAGAACAAACTTTTAAGTTTCACTTCATTTTCTTCCTGAGGAAACTTGAACACTATCTTCTTTCTTCAAGCATTCGTTTGATTCCTCATTTTCAATGAGACTGATGCAATATACGCGGGATCCAATATGATTTACTTCTAGACCAGCTTTCTCACAACCGTTGAAGAAAATCGATTCGTCTTCCTTTCCAATTCTACGTCTCCAGCTCATCAGAAAAGCTGGCCAAGGCAACACTACATCTCCTGCAACATTGGTGTCATCACTCCCAGTTTGCGAAACTGTAGTTCTTCTCTCTCTCGGTTTGTAACTTTTGAGAAGAAATGTAATGGTCTGTATCAAATTCGGGTACTGCTTCACATACAATAAGATGTCACTCGCAATGATCAGGTCCCAATCAGGGTCAGAATTTGGAAACTTGTCTCCCCAGGTATGTTTAATATGAGGAATGACAGGTAAATCATTTGCACTACAGTTGTGAGCTATGTTTTCCAATATCTCTTGATCATCATAATCTGAAGTTGTAATATCAATTTGCATGATTTGTGTTGAACTAACCATTCTGCAAATGCAAAAGTTCCAGGCCAGAGCAAATTAGCATTCAATTGATGAAAGGAAAACTCTCGGATAACCAACTCCATTCCAGGAAATTGATGCTTCCTCTCGACAAAGCTTTCCTGATTCTCTGCGTTTCCTCAACGCTGGTGTGAACGTCATCTTGTTCTTCGAAGAAAAGGGATGATGGAGAGAAGATAGCTATGTCCATTTGTTACACCGAACAGTCTTACAAGTTTCGGATTCAATTTTAAATTAGGAGAATATTTTGAATGAAGAGTTTTTTGGTCAAATCTTTATGGTCAAGTGTTTGGTTCCATGAATTGGATTTTTTATAAGGAGAGAGAGGATGGATGTATTGATGATTCGCAATGATATTAAATAGCCGTTTTACATGATTTCAGGAAATTAAAGAGAGTATTATTAAGTGAGACAAAGGCAACGCAGCGGTATAAAGCTTTATGCGAAAAAACTGAAGAAAAACTCACATGGTCGGAGCTAGTCCGACAGTTACGATTCCGGCGACGTCAGGTAAGCTCCGAAAACTCCTCGCTCTTTGCTTTCTGCCACTAATTCTTCTTTCCTTCTTCGTCTAAAACTGGTTGAAATAAGAATAATTGATTTTTTTGGATGGTTTAGGATTATACCGGTTTATCTAAGGTTTTGCTACAGTATGCAAGTTATGGTTTTGCAATATGCTGGAAAATAGTTTTATGCAATATGCAGGTTATGAAATAGTAATATGCAGTTTTTTTGAATGTTTTTTTGGGTTTTGAATAGTTTGATGCAGATTCTGTTTGGGAATGGTTTTCCAATGATATGGTTGTAGGTTCTGTTTAGGATAGCAGTATGCAGGTTTTTGCAAATGCTTAAGCAAGTGATGGTTATGGTGTGGAAGTGGAATATATTTTTTGGTAGTTTTGTAGTGATTCTGGTTTTTTGAATGGTAGGCTTTGAAACATGCAGGTTTTTTTTAGAATATGCAGGATGTTAAACATGCAGGTTTTTAGAATATGCAGGATGTTAAACATGCAGGTTTTTAGAATATGCAGGTTATGAAACATGCAGTATGGTTTGGCAATATGTTTTGAAGATGGTTTTTTGCCTAGGGGCAGTGATGTTTTGGTGTCCTCCCACTATGCCAGTTCACACTTCTTTTGAAGGGATCCCCAAATAGCCGTTGCTTCTTTCTTTGGCTCAGGTTTTTTAGTATATTAATATATTTTCTGATGCTTTTTACACATGCTGCTACAAGGTTGACTTTATTCCCAATTCATGCTTAAGCCAAAACCTGCAAAATTGAAACTCTTCTCTCTCTCTCCCAAGTACAGAAATGATATATATAAATGTGATATCTGTACTGCTGTTCTGAAAAACCATACAGGCTGGAATATGATGAAAAAGGAAATATACATTGCTTGCTTTCATAGCTTTAAAACTGCACATGCTGGAAATTTCATATTGTTTTTTGCAGGTTAACGTTGGCTTGTTATTTGTGAACTAAACATGCTGTTTGTATGGTTTATGCAGTTTTGAAATTTATGCATATTTGAAATATGCAGTGGGTTTTTTTTTGATAAAATGCAATTGATTTTGAAATGTGCTATTTTTTAATTGTGCATTCATTTAAAAATTCCTCTCTTTTTTGTGAACCGGGAGAAATCCCGTGATTTGCAAAAAAGAGTAACTGATTCCGGCCATTGCTTTTGATGATGAACATTGAATTTATTTTCTGCATTTTAATTATTTATTAAATTCTGACTTTTCTTTTAATCGTTTTTGCAGGTAAAATTAAATGAGCGAACAAGAGCATTGGATTGAAGATTTAGAATTAGAATTTAGAAAAATAGCTTTTTATTTACTTTAAGCATTTATGTAATTGTCTTTATAAATATTTTGTAATAACACAACATTTAAATGACAATTGTAATAAATAGAATAAAGTGAATAAAAATTCTATTATTTCTCAATTAATTCTTTTTCTTTCCAATTATTTATTTATTGTTTATAATTCTTTAAATTATATAATGATTAAAAATCAAATTCAATCATTTAAATTTAAAATGATAAACAAATAAATAAACATCATTGATCAATTAATAACTTCAATTATTTATTTTATTATTATTTTTAATTCTTCTAAATTATAATAACTTGAAAAAATAGAATTTCAGCTATTAACTTTAGAACAATAAATAATCAAATAAACATCGCTTGATCAATTAATACTCATTTTCAAATGTTTATTTCGTTATTCATAAACCTTCAAATTATATAATAACGGAAAACAGGTTCCCATTATTTAAATTTAGGATAATGAATAATTAATAAACATTATTTGATCAATTAATAAACCCTTTTCTCAAATAATCTTTTTATTATTTATAAATCTTTAAATTACGTAATAATCGAAAATAAATTCCAATTATTTGAATTTAAGATAATAAATAATTAATGAACATTGTTTAAGTCTTGATTAGTTAATAAATTTAGCGTTCAACAAATAAACAGCTTCCGACTTGAAAAAGTTATGAATTTTTAAACTGCTTTGAAAATTGATAAAATAGGTCAAAACCTTTGCAATGCGAATGATGCAGATGGGAGACGATATCTTAGGTCAAAATTTGGGGTACAACAGCTGCCCCTATTTAAGTTCCTTCTATCCGGAGATATGAAGATTAAAGTCTTCGTCTCGACGAGATTGAAGGTACTTAAATACATAATTACGCAAATTTTGTCCTAAGATGCCGTCATCATGTAGTGTTGAATGTAGTGCATGAATTCACCGAGAAAGATATTGTATGAAACAAGACAAGGTTGGAGGAGTCGAACACCAACAAAACACAGAGACATGAATTATACGCTACTGGGGAAAACGAGCTATCGACTTCAAACGACAGACTCCTGACAGCGAATAAAACTGAGGGAATACGACCTCTAACCCTAACGAAGAGAGCATCTTGCATAGGCCATAACAGATCATTGATCCAAAACAGTGAGTTCGCAACTCAAGGTCAACGGTAGACAGAGAGTATCAAATTGCTGATAACAGATTACCGACTTCTGGAGGTATCGGTTCGTAACAGACTTTCTCCGTGAGACCTCCGGAGAGAAACCAATTAAGGCTCTGTAGTAAGATTATAGATGCGAAGGTTGTTCAAATAAAGAAAACTGCCAGTTGTTGTCGTCCACAGAAAATACCGATAACATACAAGTTGCTCAAATAAAGAAGCTACCACTTGCTGTTTTCCGAAGAAAATACCGATAACAAAACAAGCTGCTCAAATAAAGAAGCTGTCACTTGCTGTTTTCCGAAGAAAATACCGATAACAAACAAGCTGCTCAAATAAAGAAGCTGCCACTTGCTGTTTTCCGAACAAAAGTAATAACGTACTGGTAACTCATGAAGAGTTTGCTGTTTGTTGCTTTCAGAAAAATAAAATGACGCACTAGTAGTTCGTGAAGAACTGCTGCTCGGCGCTTTCGAAAAAAGTAAATGACGCACTAGTAGCTCATGAAGAACTGCTGCTCGGCGCTTCCCAAAAAGGATAAAAGACGCACTAGTAGCTCATGAAGAACTGCTGGCGTTTTCGACACGGTCATAACTGACGCACTAGTAGCTCATGAAGAACTGCTGCTCGGCGCTTTCGACACGGTCATAACTGACGCACTAGTAGCTCATGAAGAACTGCTGGCGTTTTCAGAAAAATAAATGACGCACTAGTAGCTCATGAAGAACTACTGCTCGGCGCTTTTGACAAGTAAACGTACAAATTGCTCATGAAGAGCTACCGCTGGTCGTTTTCCAACATAATTCAGAAGGAAATTGCAATGATATTGGCAGAGAATAAAATCTTCGTCAAAGAGAACCCTGAATCAATCCTTCCCGAGGAGATCATATACTTAAACGTGCAAAATAAATGCACCAGTCGTCTTGGTCGCAAACTCACTGGGGAAAATCAAAGAGTATAGCCTATGCAAGAGGCAGCCACTTCATCCAGGAATAACCAGAGAGAAAACAGTCAAACAAGACTCCTCCCAATGAGAAAGTAAATCGATTGGGGAAATTATCCTATCCAGAAATGGACAAGGTAAGCTAAATCAAAAATCATCCACGAGGATTAGCTCAGTTGGGGAATTAGAAAGGAGGCGCACTTTATGCTTAAGTTGACACCCTATTTGAAAAGATCAAATACGCTATTTGAAAAGACACAACCAAGGTGTACGAATTCAAAGACATCAACAGATGCAACTGTGCGTGCATGATGCAAGTGTGAATGAATGCATGAATGTCATGTATATGCTGACAAAACAGACAGGGGAGACGGACAGAAGATGATGAAACATTACAGTACAACCCGACGCTCGGCTAAACTCAACAGGAGGGGAACATCACTGGAGATAGAAGACAAAAGCCAACAATGCTGTAAAATCCTTCTACAAGGCTTAAATCTCTTGGAGAGGAAGATATTCAACCCAAAGTCCCATCTTCTATCGTCGACAACACGAACAAATCTTCTGCTGGAAGGAGTCATGCTTAGCTGGAGACTGGGAACACCACCCTCTGATAAAGTGTGCAATGCCTAGCACACATTCTGACAAATCTAGATTGCCCCGGGGACCAAATTGGGTGCCCCAAATCACTGCTGACGAGCTGCATGATGCACGACGATTCTTGCGAATAACTCCACTTCTAAAATGCCCCAAGCTATAAGGTTGATGGCGAGAAAACGTCTCAAGAGGGTTTACAAAAGACCTGGCACTCACCATGCTCTGGTGTCTTCAAACTCTTAGAGGAAATCATCAAATCTCGCCGTGATTGCCCCGGATTGACTGTAGTCGGCACAACAAAGTCTTCGAATTTTTGCCCCAATCTAGCAAACCAATTGGGAAAAGCAACAACTAGGAGAAGCAACCTGTCCTTGCTTAAGGTCTTCAACTGATATGCCCCTGGATATGATTTTCTTGAATTGATTCTCCAATTACTCAACATAGTTTCAAGCCTAAAAAGGGTGAGCTTCCTTGATATCAAGCAAAAGTTTTGCAGCTAGAAAAAAAGTTCACAATGAGAATGAGAATTCTAATGCAACAGTTATATAAGTCTTGAAGATTTTGAAAAGATATCGCACAAGTTGTGCGAGTTAGAGCATCATTTATTTTCGTATAGGAAAAACATATGATACCAACATAACTATTTGAAACTCGTGGGAG